CCAACCTGTGCCTCAGGACCACAGACACACCACACTCAGGCCTGGCTGAGAGCTCTCCCCATCATGGGCTCCGGCGGACACGCTCATGCCCACATCCGACCATCTCTTCAAGCATGTCACGACCTGGAAAACGGCCTGCCTGCCAATGCCTGGCATCCCATGTGCCCTCTCACCCAAAAATATCAGAATGGTAGAAAACACCCACAGAACATGTGGGTAGAAATACCCACATTGGCATAAACATGTAAAAATTACATATGGGTCCATAAAACAAACATTTTCCAAGGTAAATAAGCTTGCATGTGGGAACAGAAAGACACCCCAAATAGATAGAGGAGCCTTCTTGTTAGAAAGACGGGGGTCCTAGGTTATTTACACGCATCCAGAATGCCCATGGATGCTAAGACACACGGCTCGACGGGATAGCGCAGAGCGAACGAGCAAGCGGAGATGGACAAAGACCCTCCCAGACAAACAGGTGAGGCTGCGTCCTGGCCCACCTCCTGTCCCCATCAGGTTAGCTTGTCCCAACACCGACTTCCTGGCGCCACAGTACTTACCAAGGTTAAAGAGCCTGTGCCCAGATAAGTTCTTCCTGACATCACTTTCCTTTCCCCTTGAGACTTAACCTGCCAGTTAGGCCTTCTCCCCATCTTCCAAGATGGAGTTGGCTCAACTCTGTAGCCTCATCTCGGGAAGTTACCATCTCCATCTTAGAGATGAGGAGGTGGAGCTGATGAAGGGTAAGTGACTGGCCCAAGGCACTAGGATTCAAGTCCAGTCGTGGCTCATTCCAGAGTCCGCCCCCACCCCCACCCCACCCCCGTTCAGGTCACGCACCAGGGGGACCTGAACGTTCCTTCCTGGGGTCTTTGAAGCCTTTCCTTGCCTGAAACCAGGGGCTCCCAGATCATCTCTTCAGTTAGATATACTACCTGGACAGAGGCGGTTCATCACCACAGCCTAATCTCATTTGCTCCAAACCTAACCTGAGCATCACACTTGGGGATGTCCAGGAGGAATAACTAAGGGAAGAAACTGCTTCTTCCAGTTACAGCTTCGTCCAAAGCAGAAAGGAACCACTGGGGGCAGGGACAGAACGTGCTGTTTGCAGCCCTGCAACCTGCCTGCCTGCACACGCACAACTGCACGGTTTGGCAGCGCTCAACTGCACAATTCATTGTGCAGCTAATTAATGGAATGCAAAGTCACGGCCCCCTGCAATCCCACACATCAGAGGATGATACCAACACACCTCCCCTCACACAGATCAACAGACTCACACCATATGACTTCATTTGGATTTTTGGACAAGTTATGTAATTGCTCTGTGCTTCAGCAGCACCGACAGACAGCAATGCTTTGGGCCTCTGGGTGAAGGCAAAGGAAGGACTTTGGTTTTCCAGGTTGACCCGAGAGAGGGGAAATACAAGAGTCTCTATCCTCCAGTCATGTAAGCAGCTACGTAGCTAAAGGGGTAAATATTTCATCAGGATCCTGAATGGGGATCTACCTTCTCAGACTGGCAGACAGCCCATCTTCTGGGGGATTTATGATATAACTTCCTCATCTATCCCTGCTCTGTCTACTTGTCCCATTCTGGGAGCTACTAGACTCTTAGGGAAAGGACTCTTAGCTTAACTAGCAGATTTCTCAAAGGAGATTCTGGGGATCTTTCCAGACTTCCAAAGGCCAAGTCATGAGGCCGCCTCTCAGGCTCACAGCCACTGTCAGCTTCTTGCTTCCCCAGAGTCCCAGCTGATCGGCCCTTTACTAATATCCCCCAGATATGATTGCTGCAGATACTAATGACACTGTCCATATTCCGAGTGCCAATGCCAATAATGCTCTGGGTATTATCACTGTGAACACCAATAACTACTGCTGAGATTGTCTCCAATAATGCCAGCACACGCTGCAGTGATTGTCCGCGCTAATGCCCACCACCGTGACATTGTTAGAGCTGAAGAATAGGCCGAAATGTACCCAGAGGCAGGAGCCAGAGCGGCTTCCTTGGGGACAGAGAGGCTCACAGCTTGCCCTAGGGGGATGATACTTCTAGGGACATGTCACACAGTGCTTGGGGCCAGCAGAGGGCCAATCTGAGGGAAGGAGTGGGGAGGGTTGGGGAGGGCATGGAGGGAGACTGCCCCTCCATGCCCTGAAACGTCCAGTCCCTTACCACGTGTCCCTGATCCCATCCAAGTGCACCTCAGTGTCCCAAGTCAGTTTCCTCTTCTGCCTGTGGTGCTGGCCCAATAGCTGAAGGACACACCTGGGTGTCTGCAGCCATGCCTGAGGCAGCCTCCTGCAACCGGCCTGCCAGCTGCTTTGCTACCTTGGCCTGACTGCAGAGTTGGGCTACATCATCTTGACACATAATTATCTCCCCTATTCTTAATCATCTGAGCTGCTCCCTAATGCAAACTGGCCCTGGCTGTTTGGAGGCACCCAGAGTGGGAAGTGGGGGCGGGGAAGGTCTGCCTTTGCTCTGGCCTTGCCTTTCCTCTCCCTTCTCACTTGGGTGTGTGGGGTCAAGTGCGTGTGTGTTAGCGGAAGGGCATCAGGAAGACCTAGTCTCCCTTATAGTCTCTGACCTTAGCCAGGAAAGGGACATCGCCATGTGATCTGGGGTTGGCCAAGAGGAAGGGGGTAGCCAGGAGAAGACACACAACGCCCCCCGCCCCCAGGTAGTGGGATCTCTGATCCTTCTTGCCACTTGACTAGGCCCAGGAAATGTGTTTAAGCAGCAGGAGGTGATGCAGAGAGCCCCATTCTCTCTTACCCCAAAGACTCCAACTGCTTCCGAGGTGTCACCTCACTGTCACTTACTGCCACCCTGCTAGAGGGTGAGCGACCCCAACCCTGCCTTACACTGCTCCCTTCTGCTTTCAGATGCTTACAGTGTTAAACCTGCAGAAGAAAGGCCAAGCTCCTTACAGGGTCCAGTCTTGGCCCAATTCCCTGTAGCCCCACCCCACCTGCTTCCCCTCACGCCCTTTCATCCAGCCAAAGTCCCCTGCATTTTCTCACCAAGGTGCCTACTGGTTACAAGACTGAGTTTATCAGATAGAATGTCACATGACCATTGTCTTTGAACCTGCCTCTCATTGCTTGCTCAGGCCACTCCTCAAATAGCGGCCCTTCCTGGAGTTTATGCCCTCCCTCTCTGGGCTCCATGGCCTGCAGCCAGACCCCCTCATCACACAAGTACCTGACAGGCCTTTCTGCTCTCCAGGTTCATGCGTTTCACACACCCCACTAGACTGACTATAAGCTCCTTAATGACAAGAGTCATATCTTGTTCTGCTTTGGGGCCCCAAGCACCAAGCCTTTCTTCAATTGATGCAGCAGGAAAGGGCCACGGAAATGAACAACTTAAAACAATGAGTGTGATCAATGGCTCAGAGGGGAGCTCACTCTGTTCCAGGCCGGCTGGGTCCGACCTGGGTGGCCACAGCTTCGAGCCAGTGCCTCCCTACCCCCAGCCTCCTTTCATGGCCCACAGAGCCAGGAAGCAGAGGGCATGCTTGGTCCTCACCACAGACCTATGGGAGAAAGTACAGAGGGGTCCTGGCCCCCCAGACATCTCACACTCTAACAAATGCAGGGCTGGCAGTTAATGGAGAGAGCCCCAGGATGCCAGGGAGTTTGGCTACAGCCTGAATTTGGGTAACCCCCCGGGGAGAATGGAGACTCACGGCTGTTCACACAGCCTCCCCTTGCCCATCAGGGGCTGCCGCCAAAACAACCACAATGAAATTTAGTGAGTGGCAAAGGCCGTGGCAGCCAAATGGGTTTGGATATTTTGGAAGAAGGCGAACTAGAGCCAGACAAGCTGTTTCCCTGTGAAGCGAGGCCATTAGGGCTTCTGGAAGGAGGCCAGCCCCAGGTCATCACTGTCTTGCCAGGCCCAGGCCTTTCCTCTGCTCCGTCCATTCCGCTGGAGACCAGGGTTCTCACACCCTCCTTTTCCTCAGCCTGAACTCAGGGAAATCCCAGCTTGACCCCCTTTCTCTCTTCCTTAACCCCGAAAGCTTCCTCAGTCAAAGGTTTACCTATTTTGGAATCACCATATGATTTATTGTCCAAACAGGACATTTTTGAGAGGATAGGAGATGTTGACTGGCCAAGATGCAGAAACAAAGGCATAAATGGGGACTGTCCTAAAGGGGTGTGTGGCCACCCCCATCTTAGAGGCTTCTATTTCACAGGAGATGCACTTAAAATCATTGCTGTCCCTAGACCAAGTGGTGACTGCTTCCCCAGAGGGGACAGGAAGCAGCCTCCCGGCACCGTGACTCATTTGTCTGGGCCTCAATTATCAAAAGACGGTCACCTAGGGGTCCCTCATGTCACCACATTCAAAAAGCCCCTCCCAAGCTCCTGGCCACCACTCTCTCCTCTCACTTCCTTCCCTACCCTTTAATGTCTTGCCTAACTTCTGGTCTTGCCTTGAGACCAGGCAGGGAGTGAGGGGAAGCTCCAGAGAGGAGACCGAGAGGTGTCTCCTCCATGAGAACAGACAGGGGCTCCCTCCCTCAGCGGTGTTATGGGGGTGGTGTCCACATGTCAGAGAGAAAGGACATTGGGCTCAGCTACACAGGACACTACCCCCCATGTCCTGATGGGTTGGGGTCAGGTGAGGACAAGGCAGGTCAGTCTTCCCTCCTCAGGTCAGAGACCAGCTGTCCCTCAACCTCCCAAACCTTCCCGAGGAACACGGTTCATGCTTCTCCTCCTGGCATCCCACCGGGATATTCAGGGTGAGACCCAGCGGCAGGTGAGGCGGTTGGGGCTGCCGAACAGATGGTGAGGCTGATGGTCCCCCAGCAACCTGCCTCCCTCTCTCTGGAGCCAGCAGGGCAGTGGGGGGACCTGGGCTTTGCTGCTAAAACTGATCTCACAGCAGAGCAGCTGCGAGGCCCGGCGAAACCGGAGCTCTGAGCCCGAGGACAAAGCATGCACAGGGGAAGCCAAGTCTCCGCCCGCCTCCCTACCTTCATCACGTTTCCTCTTCTCGCCATTGGAGCGAGGGATCCCTAGGATCCCGTTGATGGAGTAGGACCCCACTGGATCATTGGAGGCGCTGGAAACAGGAGGGGAGGCCGTACTGGGAACTGGATGGGAGCAAGGAGGAGATGCCATCAGGAGAGCAGTTGTGATCACAGGCCAAAGCCCCAACCCTGGGGGTGGAGGAGAGAGGAGGCGTCTCCCCCTGGGGTTTAAGGATGAGCATGTCGCTGTGCTCCTGTCCAGCGTGGGCAAGTGGCGGCCAGTCAACCCCAGGCCTTCTCTGCAGACCTACAGGTCTCACTGACTCAAGCCTACAGGTTTGAGCTGACTCAAACCAGAAAGCGACTCAGTTTCCAGGGTGCCAATGGCACAGTACATCCCCTCCTGGGGCTGGGCCGATCCCTCTGAAGGAACCCAGCTCGTGGTCTCGCAGTCTTCCGGGCTGTCTGTACCAGCCCTGATTTAGAGTCTGTGGCTTTCTAAGGTCCGCCTCTGACTCTCTAGGAGACACAAGAATGGTCCTGTAGTCCCCAGAGTGCCAGCTCCTCTCTCCCTGTTGCTTCTGGTCTTGAAATCGCTTGAGAAGTCCTAGTTTCTCCCCGAGGGCACGAACTAGTGAACACTCTCACTCTGTGTGACCAAGCAGGCAAGGCCCAGGCCCAGCCTTCCCTCCCAGCACGTGCTGTAATTCAGGCCAGTAAGCAACAGCTCCCCAACTCCAGGAGGGCTGGGAGCAGCCCTGGCTACTTCCTGATGGTTGAAAAGGAAGGGGACAGCTGCCAAGCGGGGCAGCAGGGCAAGGCTCACCGCAGCCCATCCCTCAAGCCCAGGCCTCCTCTGTGGGTGGCAGCACCGGGGGCCCTTCAGCCAAAGGGAAGACAGTGGGGGGGGGGGCGCTGGGAGGTATTCTGAGAGACCTGGGTCTGGTCTCTGGGATGTCCTGTGCAAGGATCAAAAAATAAGGAGGTTGGGGAGAGGCAGAGAGTCACCACGTGGTGAGAGAGACAATGAGATCAAGGCAGGCCAAGAGGTGAAGGGAGGGTGCGGGACAGAGGAACAGGCACAGAAAGGAGAGAAGAGCCAGGGAAAGGCAGACAGGAAGGAAGAGGAGAGGAGGGCGTGGAAGGGAGAAGAAAAGGATAATTTTGTAAAAATTAAATAAAACTAGAAATGGAATATAAGTAAATTGAAAGAGGGACAGGTAGGGAGGCCAAATCATATCAAAACAGAAGATGGAGAAGCAGAAGGAAGGGAAGGAAAGCTGGAGGAAATACACTGAAGAGACAGAGACAGGCTAACCACAGCCAGGCAGCTGCCAGGAGATGTGGGTGGGGGCGGGGAGCATCCCAGCGAGCTGGTCACTCTTGGGGAGATCCCAAGCCCTGGGTCTCCGAGAAAGCTGGGATTTAGAATATGGCCTTAGACCTTGGACCTCCTGGTGGGGCAGGTGAGCAGTTCCTGGCTCTCCTAGGTGGGGCCCGGCCTCCCCCATTCCCTGAGCCTCTTACCAATAGTGTGGCCAGGGGCAGTCACTCCTGTCCCGGCCCCATCTGGTGTAGGGTGGAAAGGCTGCTGAACTTTGGTCCGGATGATCCTGCAACAGCATCACAACAGCGTCATGTATCACATGCCCCCCTGCGCCGTCCGGCTAGCGGGCCCTGCAGAGGAGCTCTCCTCAGCTCCTCGCCTGTCTGCTCCCTGCACCCCTGACTGCTGCGAGGCACAAGCTTTTCCTCCCGATGGTTCTACGGTCCAGCCTAGTGTAGGGAGCACCTGGGCGAGGCAGGCTGCGTTCTGTCCTGCCGTGAACATCATTCAATTTGCAGCTTGTATTTTTTGGTGCAAGGCGTGGGGCAGCAGAGTGGGGCACAGCATCCCGCTTTTTTTTGGAGGGTGGAGACTGCCCTGGTGATTTGCTGTCTCCTTCCTTGCTCAACTGCACGCCCATCTCCTCCTGGGAATAGGGCTGGCTGGGTCGGGGGTGAGGGGGTGTCATTTTGAAGCTGGCTTCCCTACTGGGACTGTATCACATCCTCCAGAGTTGAGGGAAGAGGCAAGATTTCCCCGTTGCTGAGTTAAGAAGGATCCTTTGGTCCCAGGTCCAATACAGCATGGTCTCCTTGCCAGATGCCAGGCCCTGAACACCTTCTTCCTGAGTCCATGCGCTGCTCTTAGCAAGCCAGAGCTCTGTCCCCAGTGGGCTCCCGGGCCTGATGGCTTCCTCTTCTGGGGTCTTACTTGGGCCATAGCTACTTACCAGCCTAGGTAGAAGTTTGGTGCTGCCTACCTCATGCACTCCCATGAGTGGGGGACCAAATCAAAGATCCCACAGCTGGGCATAAGCCTGTTTGTCAGTGATCCAGAGGCCCCAGGACTCAGTGATGCAAAAGACCAACCTGGGGCCAGGATGCAGGAATACGCCCCTTCAAGCGCTGGCCAAATTAGGTGCCTTTGGAAGCAGCTTTACCGAAGGCATTGCTTCCCTCCACAGAGAGGTGCGAATCAAGTTCATCTCAACCAACCAGGTGAGTCACACCCATGAGTGTCCTCCGCTCAAACCAGCTTTCACTACCCTCGCAGGCAACAGACCTAAGGCCCCTGCCTTACAGCACTGGGAATGAAGCTGGGGAGGGCAGATTCATGCCCGGAGAAAGCTAAGGAACCCGGAGGGAACTAGCGAAATGCAGAAGGATGCAGAGTAGGAATCACCCCCCTTCCAGGGATGGGGGTTGGGAAAGAAGTCACTTGAGGAGATAAAATCTGATCTGCAGAGCAGAGTGGGGCTGACCGTGAGGGACCAGAGGCACTGAGGACAGTGGAGAGGGCGCCAGGCTGCACGGAGGGACCCTCAGTCCCACTTCTGACTCCACTCAGTGGCTACGTAGCTGTGGACTCACCTGTCTTCTTCCCAGGACCTCAGTTTCTTCAATTCTAAAGAGATTAAGCCATGGGACCTTAAGGTGGCCTTTCCCGGTGAAAATACATATATATATATATATGATTCTAAGAACAGAGAAGCAGAGGGAGGGCACTGAGGCAGGTGCTGGAGAAGGCGAGGGCAAGCGAAGGAGCTGAGTGAGCAGGCATTTTAGAGACTCTCACCTTGACCAGTCAGCCGGGGCGGTGGAGGTATGGGAGGGAGTAAGAGGAAATATGGCTGAAAACTTGGAAGTGATGAGCAATAGCAATTTTCCACTTATTGACTGTTTACTGTATACCAATATTATCTGTTCTTCATATCATATAGATATACACACACACCATAAACGCCAATGTATAAACGTGAATTCTTACAGTCACCGCCAATGTAGATACTGTCATGCTCATTGTGCAGATTTGAAAAGCAAAGCCGACAGAGGCGAAGCGTCTTACTCAAGATCACACTACGAGTCAGGGCAGAGTTAGAATTCTGACTCCAAAATCTGTGCTTTTTGTTACTTTGCCATACTTCCCCCAATATATAGGTTTAGAAGGTCTCAAGGCATAAGTGATTTCTAAACTAGAGGGGACATGTACATACTGATCCGGAAAAGCAACATACAGGTACTGACCATAAGCAGCTGGTCTCAGGAAAGAAAGGGAAGCATTTGGAAGACATCACAAAGATAGAATGGCCAGGATTTAGCAATGAACTGGAGTCAGCTGTGGCTCTAAGACCCCAAAGTCTGTGAAGTGGAAGGCTTGGGGTTTGTTCCATCATCAGGAAGAGGGGTGAGGGGAAGGGACTGCTTTGGGGGGAGGTGGCAATGTTCGTCCCAGACAGGTGGTATCTGAGCTGGGAGTGGAGCATTCAGGTGGGCATGGCCATGTCCCAGCTGGCAACATGGCTCTCGTCTTAGGAGATGGTCAAGGAAAGGAATATTGAAAGGGACAAGAGGTCTAAGCAACAGATACTAAAAGACACCCACTTGCAGAGTGTCAAAGATGACATGAAGATGGAAGGGGGTTGGAAATAAGAACAGCACAGGTTTGGGAATTTTGGTGGCTACTCGTGACCTTGGGGTGAGTATTCTTGACAAAGCAACTGGAGCCGGAGGCAGTTAGAAAAAGATTAGCAAAAGAGTAGGAGGGAAGGGAGGCAGTGAAAGTAGACTACTGCCCTCAGAAGGTGGTAGAAAAGGAAAGGAGATAAGTGTGGAAGCTGGAGGATGGAACTGGCAGCTTAGTGGAGGGAAGGCTGTTTAGGCTGGAAAAGACCTGGATAAGTTTGTAGACCCAAGAGGAAGAATTGGTGAGGAGGGAAGAGACTGAAGTTGCCTGTGATGATTCCAAGAGTGAGGCAGAACAGGGGGAGGAATAGAGGCCACGGGGGAGGAGCTAGTGAGAGGGGACCCAATGCTTCAAAAAGGGGCTTTTAGAGTTTTTATCTCTCAGCAAAGCACAAGGTAAGTCTATCCCCAAAAGTTGGGAGGAGATTTGGATCAAGATCACAACGAGAAAGATCAGACAGTGTTGACTGGTCTACAAGAAGTCTAGAAGGAGGGCCTCCCCGGTGGCGCAGTGGTTGAGCGCTGGGTTGCAAAGCTGCCCGCGGCCTCTGCGGTGCCAGTTCGATCCCCGGCTGCTCCCCGGCCACCGGAGGAGGATCCCACATGGCGCGTAGACCTCTCCTGCCGCCCGCTGCTCCCCTCAGCAGTGTACTTCGGTCCTTCTGCCTGCTCTGCTCCCTGCTCTGGCTCTGGTGAATTCTCTCACCCTCCCGCGCTTCTGACTGTACCCAGTGCATGTATAAACAAAACAAACAAACAAACAAATAAATAAATAAAACATGCCTCTATAAAAAAAAAAAAAAGAAGAAGAAGTCTAGAAGGAGACTAAGCAACTCAGGACAGCTGCTCCTAACTCACTGCAGCAAACATGTCTGGGATTTTACTGGGCCTGCAGGTGGCTCTGGCTCGAGGACTGATGGCTCAGTACTCAGGAGCTGCAGGGCTGGAACTGGGCGAGAAGGGAAACTGGAGTTTGTCTTTGTTACCCAGAGCCTCTGACCCCTGGGGCACTGGTACAGATTTAGCTGAGGCAGCAAGTGATGGAAAATCACTACACCCTGACAGCAGCTTGGTGGTGCTTGGGGAGGAGCTGCGCAGGGTGCCTGCTGTGAGTGACTAATGCTCTCCACGACCATCCATGCCCCTCAGGCAATGGGCACTTGCTAGTCCCAGAGCTGATCTCAGGGAATTTAAGAACTGGGGCCATGGAAGCCTGATGGTCATCCATTACCCTCCCGCCTCCCACACACAACCAACAACTCATGGCAATGTCACGGAGGGTTAAAAGGATAGTGCAAAGTATCCTTGGGTAACTGTCTGATATGCTTCCCCCATTCCTCATCCTTGTCTTGCTCCTCCTATTCCCTTCTTCCTCCTCTTATTCCTCCACTTCCTCCTGGTCTCCTCCTCTTCTTCTACCCTTCCTTCTCCTAACCACCCTTTTCTCCTCTTCCAAATCTTTTTCATTCTTGACCCCACAAGACATTCAGGAAGGAATGGCCTAAAAGTTAAGTGCCCCAGTATGGATCCTTGGAGGGTGCAGTCAGGATCAGGGGGCACATATCTACTTGGGGGCTGAGAGGTGCCACTTCCTATTTCCACAGAAAGACTGTCCTGCCTGCTCCCCACTTCTTGAAATGAAGATATTTTTTCTCCCTCACCTTTCATGGGAACCTCCAGGGCTTTGCCTGGGCCCAGCATGGAGACTTCAGGCAATCAGCATCTCCCACAGGGAGCAAAGGGGAAGGGGTGGGCTCCAGGTTCAGTTTGCCTGAGTCTCAGTCCCAGCTCTGTTAATTACTGCTTGTGAAACTCCTGACAGTTTCTTATCGTGTCATCTGTAAAAGTAGATAATGCCATTATCCACTTCACAGGACTGCTGCAAGGATTAAATAGGGTAATCCGTGTACAATGATTAGTATGGTGCTTGGCTCAATAAATGCCAGCCACAGTGATAGTAACTACTAGTATTGTTATTCCTAAGGGTGACCTGAGGCTCCTGCCTCCTATGTAGGGGCTGAGCCCGGCACAGTCAGGTGGCCTCTTGGCCGATCTGCTGATGGATGAAGCTCTGGGAAGAGCAGCAGCAGGTGTCACGGTCTGACCCAAAAAAAAGCTATACCAGAGAGACTTTTGGGAAACAGATTGGGAATCCCTGCCGGGGTCTGAGGCAGTTCCTTCAGGAGCCAGGCGATGCCGGGGCAGTGGCAGAGCTCTAGAGTAAAGGATGACAAGGCAGGGGAGTCACTCTCTCTTTGGTCAAACTCCCAGGAGGCCTCCATCCCCCACCAGGCTGGAGATCAGCAGGGTTTCATCAGTTCTGCGAGTTAGAACGAAAGCATGTAACACATCTCCTATTCCTGGAACTCAGGGAGAAGCAGAAGCTCGTACCACTAAGAAAGCCCTGGGGAGATGTGTACCCCTCTTCTGCTTCTAATCCCTCTCCCTCTTCCTCCTTCTCTCGTTCCTTCCTACATGTTCCATTCTGCCTCTTTCTCCCCTCTCCGACTGTCCCCTTTGTCTCCCTTCTCTTTGTCTGTCTGTCTGTCTGTCTGTCTGTCTCCTTGCACCCTCAAGTCCCACAGTGGCTTGGTGAGTATATTGA